GAATGATTCAAAACTAGCCTCAGTGATTCAAATAAATTCACGCTGTCTTCCCTTAAATCCTGAGCTTTAGAATTGCTTCATACCTTTTATTACTTGAATTAATTGGTTCATAATCTATGAAGCTAATCTCTTTATACCGTCATCGAGTTTACTACTTTGGCTTCCGATTGGATAAACTCACTTGCTATCCTTACGTCGTATAATAAGTTGGACCAATCAATATTCGTACTACATTTTACGTTGCTCTACACTGACCACGTAGCCAAGTCATAAACTAATCACCTTTTCAGTTTTTCTATCCATTCCCAGAGTCGGAAAATGATGTGCAGTATGGAAGTCACTGGGATGATACTAGTGAAACACGACCAACCCAACGAGCTAGATGTTTCAAGCCAGTGACACCAATTGAATTTCAGCACTGACGAACGTTTGGATTATTGAAATTGTGCTGCCACCAAATGTCCGCAATCCTTCAAATACAACAATCGTCAAAACAGAGAATCGCCGAACATCAGCTAGGAGACACATTGAAGAAAGTAAGCTTAAACGGAGCATATAGCTCCAGAAAAGACGTTTTAAACTGCATATTTTGTGGTAACATTCATCGAACTGACCACCCACTGACTTGAGACAATTTCCACAAGACAGAACTCTCAACAGAGACAAACTGCCAAGTGAGTTAAAGAATAGAAGTGCACACAGAATGAAAACGAAAGGAAACAGGAGGCTGAAACAATGCAAAGTAATTTTACTCATAGCACCGTAACTGTAAATAACGCTTGTATGGACAGTGACGACATTTTTATTACCAATAATCATCATTGGCATATTTCCAAAAGTGAATAGGTTATTTATAAGTTTTCTAATATTTTCAACTGGACTTTATCTAATGTGATTATGTTTCCCTACGTGAGTGTATTTACAAGTCCAGCTGATTCTGTAGAGACAGCTATATTGGACATACTACCAGACAACAAACCGACGAACAAGGGTACCCTCCCCTACGTCGTTTGGAAAGGGTTAGACAATCATATTGACAAACTCAACGAATTCAAGATAACTTTCAACATCAGGTTTCATGCCTTACAGGATCAACTGAAAGAAGAAACTACTATGTAGGACAGCTGGAAAGGGATCAAAGGAGCACTAACTTCAACGTGTCAGGAGGTGCTGGGCTGCAACAAGCATCATCATAAGGAATGGGTCTCTATCTAAACCCTTGACAAGATTCAAGAAAGAAAGAATAAGAAGACAGCAATTAACAACAGCCGAACAAGAGTAGAGAAAGTTAAGGCACAGACTGAATATACAGAAGCAAACAAGAAATTGAAGAAGAGCATTAGAGCCGACAATCAGAAATACTTGAAAGAGCTAGCGACGACAGCGGGAAAGCTGCAAGAGGGAAATATGAGACGAAGAAACTGGCAGGGAAATATAGTAAACCAGAGACCAATCAAGGACAAAGAAGGCAAGATATTCACTGAAATCGAAGGACAGATGGATGGAACACTTCAAAGAATTCCTGAATAGACCAGCCCCATTGAATCCACCGGCTATCAAAGAAGCACCTACCGACCTTCCTATAATTGTCACTTCACCAACGACGGAATAAATCTGAATGGCCATCAGACAAATCAGGAGTGGGAAAGCAGAAGGATCTGAAAACATACCAGCTGAAGCTCTGAAGTCAAACATAAAAGTAACTGCAAGTATGCTTCACGTTTTATTCAGGAAGAACAAGTGCAACTGATAGACTGAAAAGAAGAACACTTCATCAAGATACCAAAGAAAGGATATCTGGGCGAATGTGAGAACTACAGAGGCATCACACTACTGTCAGTATCAGGAAGTTTTCAACAGTGTTGTTGAACTGGACGAAAGATTCAGTAGAAGTCCAACTTCGAGATTAACATGCCGGATTCCATAAGGATCGGTCCTACACAGACCAAACTGCGACACTACGGATCATCGTCGAACAATAAGTTGAGTGGAACTCATCATTATACATCAACTTCATTGATGAGGCGTTTGACAGTGTGGACAAAATAACCTTATGGAGACTTCTTCGACACTATGGTGTACCTGATATCGTCAACATCATCTGGAATTCATACGACAGACTACACTGCAAAGTCGTGAATGGAGGACAGTTGACAGACGCACTCCACGTAAGGACAGGAATCAGACAAGTTTGCTTACTCTCCCCCTCTCTTTCTTCTGATGATCGACTAGATTACGAAGACCTCGGCATCTGAGGGGAAACAAGGAATAAAATAGACAGCTCGGAATCAAATATAAGATTTGGACTTCACATATGAACTGACTTTATATCCCAAACACACGAACAAATGCAGATGAAGACAACCAGTGTAACAGCATTATGCCTCAACATACACAAGGGAAAAAGTAAGATCCTCAAATACAACACAGAGAACACCAACCCAATAACACTTGATGGAGAAACTCTGGAAGTGGTGGAAACTTCCATACACCTGCTCAGCATTATCGATGAACAAGGAGGATAAGATGTAGACCTAAAGGCGAGGATTGGAAAAGCAAGGGCCACATTCTCACACATAATTGAAGTAAATGTGGAACTCAAAACAACTGTCGACTAACATCAAATTCAGAATCTTCATTGCAACCGTAAAGATAGTTCTACTGTATGGAGCTGAAACTTCGAGAACTACCACAACCATCATCAAAATAGTACAAGTATTTGTGAACAATTGTCTACACAAGATACTGAATGTCTTTTGACCAGATACCATCAGCAACAGCTTATCGTGGGAGAGGACACACCAGTTTGCAGTTGAGGAAATTAGGAAAAGACATTGGAACTATATAGGACACATTGAGGAAATCATGAAACTGCATCGCAAGGCAAGCACTAACTCAGAATCCTGAAAGGGAACGGAAAAGAGGAAGGCGGAAGACCACACTGAGTAGGCAATTGAAAGCAGACATGGAATGGATTGCCCAGGACAGGGTAGGAAGAAGAGTACTGGTGGGTGGCCTACGCTCCTCCATGCGAGGTAAAAGGCACATGTATTTGATTGCTTGGATCGCCTAGCTGATGTTTAGGGCTACCATTTACTATTTTCGATATCCTTTGTTCACTTATTTTTATTCACACTTTAATGTATATTCTTCTCCTCATAACAATATTTTAAAAACTATAAACCATTGCGCCTTCAGTCTCTTATTCTCCAAGTTTTGACCTACATCCCATGAACAAACAATTCACTTGAACCGTTATTATTCTAATCACTACTAATGCACCTGTCATCTAACTGTCAATTTGTTTTTTTTTCTAATTACTATGTTCTGTTTCATAATCCTTCTCCATTATTACCATTCACTCACTAACTATTCGTCCAAATTTGAACAAATGCCCCTATAAATTTATTAGTTTGATATGTTTCTTACATTTATACATACATCATCGTATATTGGAGTAAAACCTCATGACCATATTGTTCACCACTGACTAGTACAGGGTGGACAAGTTTTCATTCTTCGTTGTAACAATCCAACAACACAATCTTTACCATCTAAATTAACACTAACTCTATCTAACATTGAGAAATTACATTAAGTAGTTAGTAGTATAAAAAATTTAGATACACAGAATTGTCCAATGTTCTTTTTGTCACGTTTTTAAATACAACTACAATTGAGTTTCTTTTCAAATTAGTTTTCCTCTTCAGTCTAGCATAATCATACTTTATTAGCATTATTCTACTTCTTAATTCTTACTTCATTTTATAAATAAATAAACCTTATGGAATACGACTGGTTTTTGCTGCATCCTAGGCGTGTCCATGTATGTACATTGTTCATTATTTTAATTTATGACAAGAGTAACTTCATTATCAGAGGTAATGATGAAAGAAAATGTAACGAAGTGGAGAGAACTGGTGAGTTATTTAAAGGGTTTAATGATCCGGGATTTTAGCTTAATTTATGGACTGTATTGACTCACAAACTGTCTTCATTAATTTGATATTTTTGGCATGTCTCTATAAATCTTACTGCACATTGAAGTAAAGCCCAATGATGATCCAACTGAAATCCAAATGAGAAATTTTCATATTTTTCAAACAAAATTCCTAGATATATATTTATGGTGACTACCTTTGACAGTTGACCTCTGCTACTGCGATTAGTTAGTCTATTCCTTATGGGTTCATAGGTCGAATTTATGTTGATATGTTTGCTGATAACTAATTGATCTAGATGCTATGCTTTTAGAGATTGCTTGGAATTTCCATGGTCTAGGATTTCAATGCATATAGAATTGAACTTGTGTTCATGGCCGTTTCACAAATGAAGTCAATATGAATGTATAAACAGATTATAGTACCATAATTTACGATGAAAACTCATCACAAACAAGGTCTTCATTGTAGTCTAGTGTACTCTATTGTCGATAAATTAGCAGTCGACAATCACAATTATATCATAGTTTATACCAATAAACTAGGTACTGACTACTCACCTTAGAATATTTAAGTCAATGACATTAGCAACAATGTAGTTTTCCGTAACATGAATATGGTACAAAGAAAAATATTCTGTTGTTAACTAATTGGAAAACGTCATTGGAATAGTAATATGCATGGTAAATTAACTTTCGTCTAGTAAGAAATAATTCTAAAAGAATAGAAAAGTCAGTCATTGTTCTAAATTGTATTCACGCATCAAACCTTCAAATTGTTCATACTATACACCACTAAGACAGAAGATAGTCTATATAATATATTAAAAATAATCAGTTTTATATGAACATTTAGATGTTAATTTGTACTATAGGATGTATTGTGAAACAATAAAACAATATTTGCATCAAATAATTCTTATTTTTCAACATGGAATAAGATAACTATAAAATTTATTTATTGTAATCAGTACAGTTATCTAAAAGACAAATCAAGCATAATGAAAACATAATAAAGTTTAACTATACAAAACACCATGAATAATTTTCCTTTTCAATTATTTCTATTTATTTAGATAAAACAGAGCAAATCTCTCAAATACAAATATCCACAATAGCTTATACAAGAATAATAACATAATTTTACAAAGCCTATTAAAATAGTAACAAATTATTTAAAATGATGATCTAATCAAAAGATTCACATCTAATTATACATAGGTATATTAGATACATGATTTAAGATGGAACTTTTATTTAGAAAAGACAAACAACAAAACCAAAACATGGAGTTATCAACAAAAGATTTTTTTCGTAGAAAATCTGTTTTACAAACACTACAAAATAAACAGGTTTTTTTTTCAAAAAAAAAACATAAGGAAACCAGAAAATATGTAAAAAGAAATAAATAGAAAATCACATTATCATACATATCACATGTGAATATGTTTCAAAAGATAACTTTCAGTACGGAAAACATTTTCTGTATTTCAATGATAATAAATATCAGTTAAGAAAAAAAAATTTATTAAAAACTAACTGTATGTAGTGGTGTAGTAGACATTGGAATGGGTTTTGTAGATCGTTGATTTGATGGAGATGAGAAGAATGATCGCATAACTAAAACTTGACCAATTCCAAATAAAATAATAATTAATGCTTGACCTATTGACCAATATAGTACACGATTATAAAGAAAAATTGCATTTGAATAAGATCGTGTTAAAAGTATACGACTTTCAAACTGTTGAGTTGTAGCCTTGGAAACTGATGAGTGTAAATTATATAAACTCCCTGAAATCTGAAATTTCGAAGACAATTTTTACGAAAAAGAAAACAAATAGAAAAGAACTATTAGTTTTTGGATTATTATTTCATTAACAGTGTGAGCTACAAAAACTTTAAGCTGTTCAACTTTGTACTATTTTAGTCAACGTTGCCTTACTTCAGTGGATTATTAGTTGTTTAACTTAGATTAATTCATCAGCTCAATAACATTCGACGATTTCCACAAACCCCCGTGTACTGATAATCTGTTTGCTAGTGACTAGTTTCCAGAGGTAATTTTCCGAAGCTCTTGTGAGAAGATATGATTAATGGAGCTCAAAAGTATCAGATGTGAAGCCGTTACTTACCAATGATATTGGGAGATGGCTATGAAACATTACGAATTGATTGACGTTAAACACGTAAAACACTGGATGCCAGATCAGTGGTTTAAATGCTGGGCGCTTGCCGCTAGACCTGAATGTATTGGGTACGATAGTTGGTCGGGTCTTGAATATTCACTACTGAGTCCCGCACTAGGACGAGACAACTCTAGTGATTCCTAGCTCTTATTGGTTGTATCAATTATTATAGTTTGTGATCTTAATGACAAAGAAAATATTATAAATAGGAAATGATTTACGTGTAGAAAACGTTTTTGGAAATGAAAAAACTCGATTGTGTAACAGTATCACTTTCAAGTTTTTTTCTAGTTTCGTGACCATATTATGATTACTTGGTCTACATAACAAATCTTATGGTAATGACGTTAACTATCCCAATCAAACAGTAAAATATTTATGTCACTTTGACGTAGAAATCTCTAAACAAGTCAAAAGTGAGAAGTATCAGAAACGAGATCAAGGGTTTAAAACTAATAGGTCATGACGACGAAAAGTAAAGTTAATTGACTTCATAATCTTGAATTTCCCAATCAATCACCTATAAAGGCAAAACAGTCACTACAACATATTTAATGAACTCACCTGGGTACTAACACCTGAAAATGATGTACTTTCTGAAGGATTAGAACTGGAATTGCGCCATGTCATCGACACAATTTTGTGAGATATAGATGAGAAATAATTACTAAAGCAAACCTGTAAACAACGCAATACAACAATGAATGTATAGATTTCTACTCCTACAATGTAAATTTAAATTTACACATCTGAGTAGAAATAAAAGATACATCCTATAAAACAAAATGATGGATATTAAATATAAATATAGGCAGCTTTAATCCTAGTTTGGGGCGCTATTTCAGTCAATCAGCTATAAGCAACTCAGAACATGATGTATATGTGCGAGATGTCAAAGCAGAAATGGTAACAGCATCAATGGTAATTAAAAAAGTTCGAAATATAAATTTAAGGAATGGAAAAGCATATTCTTGGAACTCATGATCTAAGGGAAGATAAAAAATAAGTACATTTCGGTCATCGCAAACGATCTTGAACCAAGTCACCCAAGGTTGTAGACTATTAGTTATTCAGAATTAACACGGAAGCAACAAGACTGAGAATAGATAAATGCTTATTATTCTATATTTCTGAAAAATAACATTGCACTTAATAAGCATTAAATGAATATTTAAAACAATGAAGTTTCCAACTTAAAGATCTTTGGATGCTATTAGTTAGATAGACACATCCTGAAAGACTTTAGTACTTAGGGAGTCTATTTCGTTTAAGTAACTCGCTGCATTGATCGATATAAAAAACTTAGCAAATAGTATAGAAAACCAAAAACTATTGGGGAGAAACACAAACAGGAATGTTTATACAACACTAATTGACTGAAGAATTATCAACTGTTTATATATTGTCACAACTTGATATTTCACGAGTACAGTGCGTTACCGGACGGAAATGTTCTCTCTAAACATTTATTGAGCATTTGTACTAAATATTTTTATGTCTTTCTCCCTTTTGAATCTCTCCAGTTGTCTATTAGGTAATTGATCTTTGATCAGCCATTCCTGTGATTCGAAGTTGTAAACAACATGTTTTTCTAAGATGCTTACAAAATATTTTTTTCTAGTCTTAAATTAGGTCGAAAGTATTTTTTCGTGAGCAAGTTGGTTAATCCAATATCCAGTTATCAATTACCAAGACATACAACTTTAATTAAAGTAGAAAACTTTTAGAAAGAGGATAAGGGCCGCAAATTAATGTAACACCAGTCTCTAAAACTAGATCTTATCAGACTATAGTCAAGAATCTAAGGCTGATATTTTGTTTCATTCGGGACATATCAGTTGTATGGATATGTATCCTAATAAATGTTAACCTGAAAAGTCTGCATCTTCACATCACAATAAATGTGGAAGCCACGTCAAAGAATCCACAGGGACAGATTAACTATCCACAGGAGCGATCTATCTTGTTTTCCATATTAAAAAAGCGCAATTAAAAACGCACAACCAACTAAAAATTCCTAAGTCAGTCAGCTACAACGCAGTATCAGGCACATATATGCATCAGTCTAAGTTGTCACACATCATTAGCACAACAAGATGAACACCGGATTCATAGTAGTTAATTCAATGGTGGTAATATATAAAAGAAAGATTATGTATAAGGATATAGTACAGGAAGAAGGAATTAGTTAGTAGAAAGAAAGATATAAGGCAATTTCAATCTCACGGTTTAAGGGAAGACAAACAGTGTATACCCCTACTCCATTGTTCGATTCTGAACCACGTCACACCGAGTCTTCAACCATGGGTTACGATAGTCACGCGGACCCCAACAAAGTATTCCGGTTCTACCGATAGGGCTAGCACTAAAAGTAAGCGACATCCTGGACTAATGCCAAGTTTTGATTTGGCCTCTCCAAAATTTCTTCCAACGATCTAGCATTGCACGTCGTGGTAATCGGTATTCAGGCATACGTAACACGTAGCCCAAACATCTCAGTCGATGAAGATTCACAAGCTCATCAACTGATTTACCATCATTACCTAATACCCTGGTGTCTAGCCTCACTATTGCTTACCCGGTGATCCCAGCAGATGCCAGAAATATTTCTAATGCATCTGTGATCAGATACTAATAGTTTACGAGTATCTTCTACCCTTAATGGCCACGTTTCGCAGCCGTAAAGCAGAATAGCACGAACCGCCAAGCGTATACTCGTCCCTTAATTGATAGGCGAATATCTCGCCTTCGTTATAGGTGACGTAAGTTGGCGAAAGCCAAACAAGCTTTTTGAGTCCGTGCAGAGATTTCGTCAGACACCAACCCATTAGGGCTTATTAGACTTTCAAGATAAGTGTTGTCGCACCACATGAAAAGATGAAAGTAACGATATGAGTAGCCAGAGAAAAATAATGTAGTACTAATATTTATTTTTATTTAAACAGACATTGATATAAAGAAACACAAAAATATGTATGTGAACACAGTAAAAATGAGTTTGTGAAAAGACAGAGAAAGGATAGTGAGTACAATAATAAAAAATAGTTAACATCCTCAGCCCGAAGGCTAGGTTTCACAAGCCTGGAGCAAGAATGCTCTAAAACGTTGTAGATTTGACCTTTTACGGCCAGACTAACATCATGAAGGAGTCAAAGATGGCCCAGATTTACATACTCTTCTCATGCTTTCATTATACGTGAATTTACCTCACCAATCAAACCCACCACCAGGACTTACACAGCTAGCCAAATACACGAACATCTTGACTACTTCCATTTGCTCACTATCAAGAATGAGTGTAAGGTGCAGGGTCCTCCCAGACTTGTAAAAGTACTTTGCATTTGGAAGGTTTAAAGCATAGACCATACTTACAAACGCTGAGTGGCAACTGATTAAGTAGTGATTATATGACTTGAGTACTACCGCATAATAGGTCAATATTATCCGCATACTCACGATTGAAAAATTTTTCTTCAAGTAACAGATTCCCATCAGTATTACATACACCCAGCATAGTTGTATAAGAACTTTCGTTTAAATTTGGGCGCCGAGTTGATGTGAGACACTAAGGAGGAAGAATGTATATGTAAAATCTCAACGAATGGTGGTTGTATATCCTTACTTTGTCTGTTTTTGTACATAGGGCCTTCAATATGTTGATAAACTTCTCAAGTACACCCGCTTTAAAAGACTATCTCATAAAACAGTTTTGTCCAACGAATTGAAGGCGGTCCCGATTTCAAGGAACGATTACTGGCCTGCGATAAGTATGGTGGTGTCCTAGCATTTGTCAGAGGTTGAAAATATGGTCAACACATATTCGACCAGAAAGGCAAACGGCCTGCTGGCACTAGTAATAATTAGAATAACTGAACATTATTAATATGCTTCAAAGAGTAAAAAGGTATATATGAAGGAACACTGAAATCCAAGATTGAAAGTGTGAATTCATCTATCCCGTTGTGAGCAATTTTTAATTATGTAAATCAGTCTTCAACCAGCAATCGCGGCTATTAAGCGTACACAAACCAGATCATCTGTATCTACTAGCGTAGTTTACGCTAGAAGTCAATGACTTCACAGGAGCTATGATGTTAAAGGATGGGTTTGGGGTTCAATAAAAGTAGCGAAACCTCAAGAAGAAGCAAATAAGCACTAATACAACCACCAGAAAAGACATGCAACAAGACAGTGTTCTGCTCTACTTGGCAATGAAAGTGTGGAGAGAAAATAAAGCATATGGAAACTGGGAGATTCGAAATGTTACTGATTGGAGCAAAAACTATACGTGAAAAAGGAATATAGAACGAAGATTCAAGTACTAACAGGACGTTTGATTGAATAATTGTTAGATTGCTCAATTTTAAAACTCCTTAAATGTGCTAGGACCTTTTTAAAAGATTGGTATAATGAAAGAAACACTACCAATAAAGTAGACAGTAAATCTTATGGAGATTTAGGCAAGACTATAATTTATATACGAACCGATCAGATTTAGGGTAACAGGCCTTGAATTTTGTTGCGAAATCCCTTCAAACTCTTGTCTAAACAGAGCTTTGGCATTTTAGCTGATGTCAGTTCATGATGAAAACTCTAAATCAAACTCCTAGTCCAAATCATAATCCTTATTTTTCACACAGGTTTATAACCCTCATTAGGCTCTAGTAAGTTGGTGGACATTCTTAAGGTTTTACTAAGATTTAATACCATTAGTTTTGGTTAATTTGACTCCTACAAATCTAGAGTCTTAAGAATCTGATCTATTTTGTCTTCATAGAAGCTCGTCTTACTGGATTGTTAGCGGTGATATTGCTTAAAATCAGATGGATTTTATCTCCTGAAACACGACTGCTTAATGGCATAATATTTAGACGTGGTAACTTTACTTCGTTGACTCAAGTCATGAACTTTATGAAACTTATGACCAAGGTTTTAGCAAATGATATCAGATCAACTGCACAACAAGAACAAAAGGCAGAAAAAGTAGGAGACAGACTCGAAGATCAGTTTTACAAAAGTTCAGTTTGAATGAATCCGAATAACTTACCTTGTAAATACCTTCTACTGCAACATCAATATTGACTTTATCAGAAGATGAACGGTGAAGTAACTTAATGATCTTTCTGTGGGGATCCTCAAGTCTCATGTCCACATCGTAATTCCCACCGGATATTACCTGATTTCGTTAAACATTTAGTGATCTTAACTACATACGTTGAACTCTAGAATAAAGCTATCGCCCATAGAAAACTCCTCATAAAAACATTGAGAAGACCTGTCTTCTAACTCAAAAGTCAATGAGCTTCCTGAGGCCTGATGCACGAACGCAAAGAGAAACATAACAAGAATCATCTCGATAACGTCATACGACCTTCCGCTAAGGCCTATGTGTTTTATATTCTCACAGTGTACAATGTCCAATAACACTGAGATGAATTAGAGGGTACCAGTTAATCTCTGCACTCAAGTGTTCGTGCCGACATACTGTCCTAAATCTTCGACGTTATATAGGCGATCTTTTATTTTACAGTGACCTCTTTGATCTCTTACCAATAACCAGAAATATCCATTTTCCATTATCGGATTGGAATATTTAAAAACTTCCAAAGATACTAACTAAGTTTTCTCTTGATAATAGACAACAATCATGACCATATAAAGGTAGGACCACTGTGAGGTAGGTCTAACCGTCTCGATCAGATGCTGGTAGTGTCTGTCATTATGTTAAGCCCAAATACCTTATTCTAACTTCCGGACAGCCCATTCTATTCATTCTACTTGAGTCATATTTTGACCTTGTTAATTATTCGCTCATTAATCTTGACTGTCCTTATATGAGCGCGTGGGCGTGTGTACACTTCGTATCCTACTGTTCACATTTGTGTGACATTTTTGTATGCCTATAAATATTGATTACCGCTTGGTTAAATGGGAGTTGATTTACCAGCCATCTCCGCCGTGCGTCAGTTTCACTTCGCATCGCATCGTTCCTACATGCTCTCTTCCTAATTCCTTCGACTGCAATATAATGGGCTAAATTTACTTGCTACTATAAGACTTGTGGATAAGTTACTGGATTCACACAAAATTGCTTGCTAAGATATTCAAAACAAATATTCACTCATATTTGCCATTTTTCTTCGAGGCTTTAGTTTTATGTACTTTCTCAAATTGTTTCACCATATACTTTTTAGTTTATAAATAGCATACACAATAATAGCGTTTTCACAAACACTTACTCTATATTTACAAGCACGACTAGCAAAGATAAGGGTTTTAATTCGAGGTTTAATAATAATTTGAAAACCCTTGTTTCTAGAACCTGGATTATTAGGAAAACTGAGACGACACCAAATAGAAAACCTCAGAGTAATTCGTACAACATGAATTACCCGACACAAACTCCGAGACCATATCTACAACTAAGGAGTCAATATCATACTCCTGTTCAGGTTCATACTCCTAGTAAGACTAGTACGCAAAAGTAAATGAAAGGAAAGGGAGTTTTGAACTGCCGTAAAGCAGGCCACCCGGGAAAAACAATGCAAAAAACGGTGATTGTATCGTACTCTTGTCGCTCGACAAAACTAGGTACTCGGCATTAGAGTGTAATTTCTTCAGTGGCTGGGTTCACTATTTCCGCGGTAGTATAATATCTAGGCAGTAATACTTCTGTCTGTGGTTCTCGTATGATCGCTCACAGTGTAGAACAGATATACTAACAGAATTGACAAAAGAGAAACGTGAATTTCAATTGAAAATAGCCATATCAGTCCCCATCAGTGTATTCAAATCATTAACCACAAGCTCAAGTAAACACGCGACTATGGGAATCTCGACTCGAGCCTATATAGCTCGATGGAATTTCTGACTGTTTCTAATACCCCAGTATCTGTTAGCGGCAAACAGCAATAAATGAGCGCTTGGAATAGAAATGACAAAAAACACAGCTCTCAAAACGCCAAAAGATGAAGACCAAGATATTGGAAAAAACTCCGTGATTTTATTTAATGTTTCAGTGTTGGTGGGTAGCTTACTAGGAAGTACGGCAGCCATTGATAAAGAACAGTGGAGCAAATGCTGTGCAATGCTGGGAAATGATATCACTCCAGCTAAACCGTGCGTCTTGTGTAGCGTGGTGTCGAGTTGAGCTTGACTATGAACACCGCTACAAGACTACGTGCCAATAGACCAATAAGATACCGGTAGGCCAATATCAGAAGGCAGATGATGGCTGTAGTCCAGATGTATTTGTTGGCGATCTCGTGGTATCGACAGAATACCGGGATCGTGCCAAAGGAGTACAAGTATGGTTACTGAGCGTAACCGGATTCGTACAAGTTCAAAGTCGACGGGAGAGTAAGTATAGTGGCTGTCATTAGCACAGTTAAACAAACGAGCACAGTAAAACAGTTACTGGTACAATTGGTTATAATAATAATTGTTTTCATCGAACCAATCGCGTTCTGTTGACAAAAGTAGGTCACTACAGGAGCCCCCCGCTAGAAAGGGACTACACTTCGATAGTTAGCGGTTTGATTCGTGGGACTGATCGGCAGAAGTGCGGTTGTAGGACAAAGGAAATTGGCGGAACAGGAAGTGATCGTTGATCCTCGAGTTGCCAACGAAGGTCTTTTGCGCAGAACGGTACCAGAAGTGTGCTGTATTTGTTGGTCGAATTAGCATACCACATCAGAGTGGTTTGTATCCAGAATCTGATGATTGCGTTCGTAGGGATGTGAACCAGGAAACGCTGCAGACGTAGGACGAAACCACGTTGAGCCAAGAAACCGGACGCGACCATAACGACCAAGCGTATGCCAGGCGAATTCGAACGCAGATAATCGACTGTGTGCGTTGACTAGAGCATGGGTGGCCAAACCAGCTTTTGCCAAAGTTGACTGAAGTCGACGTTATCAAACGGGCGATGGTCGGAGGCGTGGGCTCAGGATACAAAAAAAATCAAAAAAAATAAAAGTGTAGCATGCGTGTAGTATAGGAATAATCCTACACCGTATCCGTTATTGACTGTGCGGTTAGTCGCGAAAGCGTACGGGTAATCGTACTCGGCGACCGGAACGTGAGACGGTAGTCTCGTTCGTGCTTCGTGAGCCTGCGATCTCATCCGAGGTCAAGTGCGGCGTGGTCTGCCGATCTGGACGTGAGACAGAAGTCTCGTCCGTAGATGGTGCAGATGACGCATGCTGTTGACCGGGACGTGAGAACGAGGTCTCTGATGTATCTAGCGTGGGATCCGAGGTAGACGTAGAGATCCCGCTAGAAGGTTTGATAGGTCTAGCATTGAGTCTCAAGTTATCGGGTAGGGCACTGTCATCGACGTGTGCTGGTTTGAGACGATCAATGCTGACGATCTTGACGCGGCCGTGTCGATCAACCTTGAAGGTCTTTTCGTGACGAGAGATCACGTGAAAAGGGCCTTCGTAAGGCTGTTGCAGAGGTTTGCGTACCGAATCTACTCGTATGAAAACACGTGAACAGGTAGATAACTCTCGAGGGAGAGCGACCTGTCGATGTTGTATTCGAGTTGACACCGGAGACAGCGTTCGCATAAATGCAGACAGTCGATGGACGTAGTCTGATTTACCGAAATCATTACTGCTCCGTGGTGTGAAGAATTCCCCAGGCAGACGCAATGTCATGCCGTATACAAGTTCAGCGGAGGAACATTGGATATCTGCCTTCAAACTCGTTCTGATGCCTAAGAGAACGAGCGGTAAGGTTTCGTACCAATTTTCGTTTTCGTGTGCTCGAAGAGCACTTTTAAGTTGGCGATGAAACCTTTCGACTAAACTATTCGATGCTGGATGGTAGGCGGTAGTGCGTATGTGTTCCGTACCAAGCAGCCGGGTCAGTGAGGAGAATAATGCGGACTCAAATTGTTGTCCTCGGTCAGTCGTGACAGTCGAGGGACAACCGTACAATGCTATCTGTCGTCCTACGAAGCGGTGAGCAATTGTCTCCGCCGTGATAGACGTGATGGGAATAGCTTCGGGCCATCTTGTAAAACGGTCAATGCACGTGAGTATGTGATCATACCCAATCGATGGTGGCAATGGTCCTACAATGTCTATATGAACGTGATCAAAGCGAGCATCAGGCGTAGCGAACGTGCCAATGGGGGCAGCTACGTGCCTGTGCACTTTTGATCGTTGACACTGTAAGCATTGTTTTACCCACATACGAACATCTTTATTTATGGACGGCCAGACGTATCGTGCAGCGATGAGGTGTAATGTGGCTGCGATACCTGGATGAGACAATCCATGAAGGGCATCGAAGACGAGACGGCGATAGGCAGAGGGTACGATGGGTCGAGGAAGACCGGTAGAAATATCACATAGGATAGTACCTGAGCTAGTAGCTAGGGGTACTTCCTGACACTGAAGGGACGAAGATTGTGGTGCTTCTGTACAGACAGGATCGTTTGCTTGCGCGGCGGCCATAGCAGGAAGATCGAGCACCGGTGAAGTAACTGCATTCGTCTGGATACGTGATAGAGCATCGGCAACATAGTTCGACTCGCCTTTAATGTGACGAAGGTCTGTCGTGAACTGAGAGATATAGTCCAAATGTCTGCACTCTCGTGGTGAGTAGCGGTCAGACTTGGTATGCAGGGCATACGTTAAGGGCTTATGGTCGGTGAATAAGATTAATTGGCGTCCTTCTAATGCGTGCCGGAAATGTTTGATGTCACAATAGGCTGCTAGCAGCTCGAGACCAAAAGCGCTATATCTCGTCTCCGTGGGAGTAAGGCGTCGTGAGAAAAATTCAAGCGGTTGCCAACTACCGGAGATATTCTGTTGCATGACGGCTCCTATAGCAAAATCTGATGCATCAACCGCTATACTAAGCGTGGCTGATGGGTCAGGATGAGCGAGAAGTGTAACTTCAGCGAGAGCCGTTTTGATCTCTGAGAATGCAGTACGTGCGGTATCGTTCAATTCTAATTTGCGTGGATTACCGCGTAGTAAATCGGTTAATGGTCATAACCGTTCTGCCGCGTGAGGGATAAAACGTCGGTAGAAGTTAACCAAACAGAGAAAAGCCTTCAGTTCCTTGATTGAGGACGGCACGTTGTACTCCTTGATTGCTCGAAGTTTGTCCTCGCAAGGCAGAATACCCTCTTGTCTGATGATGTGACCCAGAATTATTATTTCTGATTAACCCAATTCACATTTCTCTGGGTTGACTACTATTCCATTATCCGAAAGACGTTGGAATAATAGTTTAAGGTTTTGATAATGTTCATCTACGTTTGATGATGCGATCAGCAGGTCATCAATATAGACGTGAACAAACTCCAAGTCTCGTACTATGCTATCGATAAACCTTTGGAAAGTTTGAGCAGCATTCCGTAATCCAAATGGCATTCGTAGGAACTCAAACAGACCGAAAGGAG